GTCCCTCAGAAGCCAACCGCACAGTGATTGGTTGGGAGGTGTCCTCGTTGAACACCTGCGTGTGGAGTCGAGCAGCATTCTGAAGACGGATAGAATAGTACCGTGTGTGAGTGACAATAGGAGTAGCCTGGGAGTAACATCAGGATTCATCTGTTGAGGTGATGCTCTTACTAGAGATTGGCTGACACATCTCCTCTGTGTGGCCTTGATAGAGAGGGTGTCCCCTCAGTCACATCTGGCTCTGAAAGCAGATCTGGCTTTTACAATGTCTGATACAGATGGCACGTGTTACAAGAGGCAGAGAAGTATCCTATGGGAAACCTTGGCATTTTGTCTTCCATCTCTACCATGGCATTTTGTGACCTGTGGTGGATGTGTGGGGATGGAGTAGTTGGCTTTTGAAAGGTCCCTGCCCTCTCATACCACAGATGCAGGTGACAAGGAAACATTTCTGTGCTGGGTTGGGAGGCAGGCTTACCTGGAGACACACTTTTATTGGCTGAACTTAAACCATCTTTCTAGCTGAGAATGGACAAAGTGAGGGGAGGCTCAAGTCTCCTCTTGTCCCAGGATGGTATCAAATACCTCACGTTTTGTTGGTCTTCTGTCACTCAATATCTTAATGTTCCTAACTCTTGAAAGGAAGTTCACCAAACTCCAGAGGAAAGCTCAGGAGAGTGAGTCATTGTATGACATGACAGATTGTTATTACATCTTGTGTCTTACCTAAATTAAGTCACACAGTTTTGTTTCTAGAGGTGAACATCCTCTGAAGTCCTGACTCTTGCCACTTATTCACCATGTGTCTTTGGGCAAGTCATTGCACTCCTCAACTTCCTTATCTGTCACAAACTGAGGGATAGACCTCGAGGTCAAGTTCTCCTCAGCATAAAATCCTCTGATTCCTGTACTCTGTGTGTAATAAAAATACAGAGGCAGCTGTAACACTGGCAGCAGCCACCCTGGTGGCTTGCGGCCCCAGAGGAAAATGCCCAGGTTTGGAACAACAGGCTTTGTTCCTCCTGCTGCCCAGTGACCGTGGAACTTTCATGCTTTAGAGCCTCAGTTTCTCCATTTCAGAAATGTGGATAATAACTACACATTATGAGGACAAAAAAGAGCAGTGTTTGAATGTGCTGTAGAAATCCATGTTCCCTCATCGCTGGGCCATGAGAACAAGCAGCTCCATCTGTGCTTCAGCTTCCCCAGTGAAAGATGGGGATAGTTTTCTCCTCAGGCAGTGTGCGAGTACATGGGCGATGGCATTCCAGGCCAACGCAGAGGTGTGTGGTGGGGGAGGCAGACAGTCTAGCTTGTGGAGGTGTAATGGGTAGCCGGAGAAGGCAGACCGAGGCCACATGGCTGCGTCCCTCAAATGTGAGCTCTAGAGAGTGGGCTGCGGCTGGGGTTGGTGGTTTGGGAGACCGGAAAGAAGGCAGTTAAGATTGTGTTACTTGGTGGTGGTACAGAGCTGGCCTGGGAAAATGGCAGCAGAAATGAGCAAAAGGAGTAGCCAGGTGGCACCTGGACAGCTGGAGGGTTATGGCACTGAAGTAGGTTGGGAGGGAAGCGTGGGTTCTGTTTTGGAGGCATTGGATCTTGGGGACTGGGGCAGGCGACGGGCAGAGCTAGCATAGCGGAGTCCCCTGCTCTGAGCTCCATTGGTTCCCGAGCTCTCTATTGAGCATCTGTTGTGTGTGAGGCTTGTGCCAGGCTTGGGCACGGGAAAGTAAGACACTGTTCTTGCTTTCAAAGAGCTCACTGTGGGGGATCCTATTCTTGTATTTCACTTCCCTTCAGGCTTCTTGGATGCTGACTTCTCATCATGACTCTTGCTAAGCCTCTTTGTGGTCTCAGACATGTAGCCACAGACAGAGGGTTGACTTTGGCACTCTACTTTTTGCTGGGCTCCTCACAATCACTCTCACCACTGGAGAAAACCCCCACGCTTACCCTGTCTTGTTCAAATTGTCTTCTTTTTCTACTTCTTGCTTCTCTACTTCTGTTCTCCTCACTTGCTTCCTTCTCTCCCCCTTCAGTCATCACCATTTTCATCTGAATTTTTCTGCTCTGACGGTAGCCTCTCCTTGGTGGACACTGTCATATTCTACCAGCGTGTGATTCCGCTTCCTGTTTTTTATGCTCGAGCTGGAGTACTGGACTGAGCCTGAGGTCAAACAATGAAGCCTCTTTCTCATCTGAAATGTTTTTTTCTAATCCAAAATGTTGGGAATGGGCTAGATGGCCACATGCTCTTGTTACTCGGGAGCTTTGTCATTCTACTTTTAAAAGGCATTCATGGTCTAGAATGATGGGCACCAAATGTTAGAAAGGGTTACTTGGGGGTGATTTGCTTTCTTTTTTGAACATTCATGTTGTTTTATTGTCCTCTACTGAAAATGTATCACTTTGGAACCATCAGAAGGAAAAGCTGAGCATCTTTGTAGCTGACCTCTGGCTCGCGAGAGTGGCTGGTTGCTCTGAGGCCCGGTTTGCTGCCTCGTGCATCTTGGCAGAGCTGTTTTCACTGCTGTACCTTCTTTCACATCCACCATATTGGTTTATCCTGCACCCTACCCCTGAGGTCCTTTCCAGCTCTGAAATGCTTCTATTCTGTTCTTCTCTTAAGTCGCCAGTGCTGTGATGTGGTAAAACCTCACAAAAGCTAGCAAGACATTTGCATTATAGAGTTGTCTGTTACTTTCAAGTACATCTAACACCAGCGTGGGCTGACAAAGGTAAACCTGAACTGCGACTGTAGGGCTGATTAGCTAGTTGCCATTGTTTTGGTAAAAGAGTTTAGTGAGCGTTCATCAGAAGTTGAAAATGACTCTGAAATTCTTTGTTGTGGGTGACGCAGAGATGGACAGGCAGCCCTTCCAGAAATGACTACATGTGAGGAATTATAGGCTCCAAATCAACCAGAACCTCTTGTATTTAAGAGTGATGTTTTAAATGATATTCGTAACTTGGTCTTTGGTTCCCAGCAAAAGCATCTCAGACTTATTGGAAATGGAATGAAACCAGTTATCCCTGGAAATGTGCTCCAAATTTGCCATACCTGTTGAAAACATCATGGGAAGTGCCAGGTTCATTAACTAGATCTTATTTTAGGTTTGGTTTGGTGAAGAATGGCAAGGTCAAATCACATGTCCAGTATTTCCTTAGCCCAATCTATAGTACAGATACATGGATTACATTTGTATTGCACTTGTGTGCCGGATGGGAAGGGGCAGCTGGAATGCAGGCTGGGATATTGAAGGCTTTAAGCTTGATTATCTTTTATTTCATAACAATGTATTTAGGACTGTGATTGTCAAGCATTCAAATATAGCACTGGCTATGGCACTTTCTGCATTGATAGTAACGTTCTGTGCTGTTCAGCATAGTAGCCAGTAGCCGCATGTGGACATTGAAAACTAGAAATGTGGCTGCTGTGACCAAGGAATTGAGTTTTTATTTAATTAATTAATCTTTAAATTTAAAAAGCCTCATGTGGTTAATGGCTGTCGAATTGGACAGTAGAGCTCTGATAAATGAGTGATTCCTAATACCCGATCACATTGCCTTAGAAAGAGTCCATCACTAAACTGGTATACCTTTCTACACGAAAGAAAGACTCAAACCATTCCATATAGCTGAGTAATTTTTTCAGTCTGTATAAAAAGACATTCTGCTTTCTGATAACTAACCGATGGGATTAACTATTCTTAAATACTCCCAATTTTGACATAGTAACACAAATCTGTGGCACACACTTTGAAAGGTATAACAGTGGAGAGTGACTCTGCCTCCCCCTGTTCCCCAGGCAGCCCCTGCAACAAGGCTTTATGTCTTTTCCAGGGATAGTCTTTGCAAGCATCAACAGACTTAATTTTTTATTTCTTTTATTTCAAAGTATTTTTTTTGTTAAACTCCTTGTCTTCATTTCTCCTTTGGAGGCAGACGCCCATTGAGGGAGTGAGGGAAACATGGCCTCAGTCTGCACATGGCTGCCCCAGGAGGGCCCACCAGATCCACCAGAAAGTAGATCTTGATGGAAAAGCTCTTGATTTTCTCATTAGAAAAGCATCTTAATAATCTTCATTGGTTTGGCTTTTGCATTTTAAAGTACTTTTATTTTTACGATCTTATTTTTACCCTCATTGTTTAGACTTGGAAGATTTCTCCCCATTTGATTTTTCCTTGGTTCCGTGGAAAGAGAATGTTGGTTATCACAGAGATACTGTGGGAGTCCCTGTTCCCACTGGGAGGAATGAACTAGATGGGTGGGAGGATTGCGTTAGTTCATAAAAATTTTTTATCTGTGACCTTTAACTCTTGTTTATTGCCACTATTGTCCTAGGAGGACAGAGTTTTTGGTCCACCGTATGGCATCGAAACCCTGTGTTGTACTCAGTCGCGCTTTCCCCTTCAGCATGAGATTGGGCACTGACGCTTTAAAAGTGTTTGCGAAGTTGTTGGATAGCTCTCAGAACACCAGATTTTTTTGGTGGAAATTGATAAAGAAAAAGGAGTTTTAAGACTTTTTAAAGGTTTTTTATGCGTCAAATGAGTCATAATAGGAAGCTTTGATTATTTCTAAAAGAAGACAGTTTTTTTTTACACCCATTTAAATATTTTTTCGAGTTTGAAATTTCAGTTTGTTTATTTTAAAAGATAAGAATTTTTCAGCCAGACCTTCATCTGAAAAAGACACTGATATGCGATGTGCATTTCACAGACATTATCATTGTGCTCTTTCAGAGATTCCACATAAATGCTTTTTCTCCTTTTTCTCAACTGTGAAAGCTTTGAAAGAGTCATGAGGTCAGGTTAGGATGACGTCATTACTGAACAGCCTCACCAGGCACACGGTAGGTCCCAGGTGCCATCCCACTATAATCTCAGCAGTTGAGAAATGTGGAATGGGACCTCAAGGTGCGACCTGAGACAGCAGGGCCTTCCTGAGCCTCTCCAGCTGTCTGGAACAGATCACTGTATAGTTCTTTCTTTCAAAGGAGCTGACAGTGGCGGATCATCGTCTGGAAATGGGTCTGGGGTTGCCCCTGCTGCCCCTGCAGGGGGCTCTCGTTCCTCCTCCCGGAACTTAGGGTCTTCTGGTGGTGAGAAGGAAGAAGGCAAAAAGGTCCGGCGGCAATGGGAGTCATGGAGCACGGAGGACAAGAACACTTTCTTCGAGGGGCTATACGAGGTGAGTGAGTTATGGAGTCAAAAAAGGCAGCTCAAACCCCTAGCCTCTTATCACTTTGTTTCTCTTTCAGTTTTCCTTCGCCATTCTTACCACATAGCTACTAGATCTATAGGTTAGCAGTTCCGGTTGGGAGCCCCTAATGTGACTGTGGCAGGTGTGGGTCTCTAGGGATATGGTCTCACCCTCTGACCGTGGCCTTTTATTTCCTCATTGTGACTTTAAAAGCTGTTACTAGGGAGGTGGCTGTTTGGAAGTGTCTTTGTATGCTTTTCTTTTCTCAGATTCTATCCATTGTTTCTGAGATAACATTGACTGAAGAGTGGTACCTTTCTTTCTGGGCTTTCCCCTTACAGCCGCGAGTGGGCCAATTGGGAGGGATGTTCCCCAAGGGGGAGGGCCAAGGGGACACTTGTCATATCAGTCAGAGCAGCGAGCTCAGCCCTGAGAGACATTGCAGCTGACCTAGGACAGACTGGAAGGTCCTAAAAATAGAAGCTACTCCCTGATCCCGCAGCCCAAAGAAGTGGCCATGCTCCCTGCCAGCTGTTTTCACTTCTGCATTTTGATTTTTCAAATCTTTGTAATTATAAGGAATGTGCTCTTTTAAAAAATTTTATTGTCAGATACATTTTTGATAGTGTTTCCTAGTTCTTTTTGCTCAGTAATTTTTAATGCCTATAAATATTCTACTCCAGGTGTAGGCAAACCTGTGGAATATGTCCCTACTACCCGTATATTGTCTCTGGCTAATTTTGACTGCAATGGCATAGTTGAGCAGTTACAACAGATACTGAGTGTCCCACGACATCTAAGTATTTATTCTCTGGCCAAGCTTTGCTTCACTTAACCATTCTTATGTTGCTGATTGTTGTGGTTCCTTCCAGGTTCTGTTATAAATAATAGTATAATGAATATCTTTGTGAGCATTCCATATTTTAGATTTCATCTTTAGGATAAACATCTAAAATAGGTTGCTCAGTCAGTGAGCCTTATTTTTTTGACAGCGAAAGAATTGGAGTGATAGAAAAGTCTGGCCTTGCCTGCGAAACAGGCTCATAAAGGAAGGAGGCTTTGGAATTGAAACCATGAAGTAATCATGGAGAGACCAGAAAAGGAGATTGCTAAATGGAGGCAGAGAACTAGAACTCAGTGTAGATTCTGTGCATTCCTGTGACTGGTTTTCTTTCCTGGGGCTGATGGTTGAGTCCGGGGTGGAGGAGGCCCACATGTCAGTGTTTGACATAGTCATCCAAGGAGAGAAGGAAGTATGCACAGGAGGCTTGTTCCAGTAGGTGCAGAGTCATTCAAATAAATTCAAATGTGTTCTTTTATTCCCTTTGACAGTTTTAAAAAGTATAGAGGCTGTTTTTCTGTAGATTATATACCCAAATTGCCTTCCTTAGCCTCTTTGTTAGGCCTATAAGACTTGTGATTCCTGGAATGTTCTTAAAATAGCAACCATTGTGGATTCTAACCCAAGACTATTACTGCTTTCCTGTGGCCCTTCTTGGGGAGAACATGGTCTCTGCAGGGGATTTGGCTGCAGAAAGCAATGGGAGATGTGGTTGTCTATTAAATATAGGAGGAGAAGAATTCCCATGAATGACCTGCCCTTACCTTTTTTCAGGTGGATTAGTTCATTTCCTTTCTCGTTGGCTAGCCTTCTTTTTCTAATTTTTCTGCCAGGTAGGTGTTTCTTTTGAAGTCACCTGAAACCCTAGATTAATAATAATATTTGGCTGTTGTGATTACTTAACGCTTTTTGCTATTGGTACTATGTATCTCAAATAGCATGAGTGTGTGTATATTTTTGTGTGTGTGTGTGTGTGTAAATGAGAGAGAACGAGAGAACAAATGTATGTTTTATGTGTGTCAGACCAAAACTTAATGGAACTCTGATAGGATCTTGATGTATGGTTGATTGGTTGAAGCATAGATGATTGTGAACATTTTGAACTGTGAGATATGGGGTAAAGCCTCTGCTCTGCAAATGTTATTTCTGCAGTGTTTGTCCAAGTCATCCCTGCCTTTTGATGCACATAGTCAGATTTAGCTATGCTTCAAGTGACAAGAACCCAGCTCAGAGCAGCAGAAAGGGACAAGGGGGGTTGAGTGGCTCTCATGACTAGGAGGGATAGAGAAGGGCTGGCTCAACCTGACGATGTCATCTGGCCTCCGTCTGATACCCTCTTAAACTTTGGGTGACATTTCTGTGCTTTTTCTCTCCTGCTTCAGACACTTCCCAGAGACAAGAGTCCCACTCCATTTCAGCAGTGGTTCCTCACAAAGCCCATTGCCAATTTTTCATTTTCCCTTCTCATGTCTGTCCATCTGTCTATATTTGCCTCTACTATACAGCCACACACAAGGCCAGCATCCTGTGTGTGGTTGATGATTGCTGAAAGGCTCGTCTAAGTATAGAGCCCTATGGTTGTGCTAGAAATGCAAAGAAGTCCCCCTTTAAGGGGCTGACAGTCAAATTTGGTAGATATAACAGGCACATAAAAAGTTGGACCATCAGAAAGCAAACACTAACAAATGCCACTAGAATTCAGAAGGCAGCATAGTTTTAGAACGCCGCATCAGGAGTCACAAAATCCAGATTCTAGTCCTCACCTGGTAAGTCAGTTCACCTCTCTTGGTTTGTTACTCCAGCTGCAAAATTGGGAGGCTGAATTGTTTCAGTCACCATTCTGATCAGGAGCCGAGGGAAGTTCTGTGGGGGAGGCGGCATCTGAGCTGGACCGTAGAGGAAGGCATTTCAGGTGCAGCTTTGCCTTTTTATGTTTTACCTAACATTGTGGTAGTTTTTGAAATGATAAATAAGCTTTAATTTTTTAGGTGTTTTATTTTTTAACTTTTAATTTTTGAACAATTCAGACTTAGAAAAAGTTACAAAATGAGTACAAAGAATTCCTTCTGCCCTTGGTCTTGCTTCCCCAGTGTTCACGTAACTGCAGTGTGACCTGAAGATGAGGTTCGGTGTAGGTACCACACCTCACTGACCTGCAGGCCTTACCGAGGTTAAGCCTGTGTTCTCATGGGTGTCCCTTTTAGATCAGGAACCCACATTGCATTTAGTTGTCACAATTGCTAAGTCCTCCAACCTGGGACAGGTCCTCCATCTCTTTTTCTGCTCTCTCATGAGTGACACTTTTGAATACTCCTACCCAGGCTGTTAGTTTGTGGAACACCCCGCGTTTTGGGCTTACTGAGCCTTCCTCATGATTCAGTTTATATTTTGCATTTTTGTCAAGAACACCATAGGAGTGCTGTGCCATCTTTGGAGCATCCTGTCCAGAGTGTGGGGTGCGATCTATCTCAGTTCCGGTGGTGTGAATGTGATCACTGCATTCTGGAGGCATCTCCCAGGTTCTCCACTGCCAGGTCATTTGTTTAACTTTGAGACTACTTAGACACCCTGTTTCTCATCACTCTTTCTCCCACTAAGTTTAGCCACTATTGCAGTGTCTTTGCTGAAACAGCTGTTACTGTGGTGTTTGCTCAGTGATGATCTTCTGACTCTATTATTTCTACATTTATTAATTGGAAACCCAGTGTAAGGAAAAGCTCTCTCCATTTATGTATTTATTCATTTATTTGTATCTGTATGGGCTCAGGGACATTTAGGCTATTTTATAAGTCATCATCCATTCTTATTATTGTTGATTTTCTTCCCCAGATTGTTGTAGATTTGGCCACTGGTAGCCTCTTCATGTTGGCTTCTGTGCCCTTTCAACATGGTCCTGTCATGCTTTGAGCACTTCCTCACTTCTGATATTCCACACTTACCTGGTACTTTTCCTGCCCCAGACATGTGATCATCCATTTCTGCAAGGAGCCTTGGTTTTTTTTGGAAAGTGGGGTTTAGAAGTTAAGGATACTTGTTGCTGCTGGGGTGCCATTACCTCTAGGCCCTTCTCTGTACTTCTTATTGGCTTGGTTCTGCTGAGAGAATCAGCAATAGGTTCTCATGGCAGTGCCTGAAACAGCAAAGATGCTGACTATGTTCTGTGGAACATAAGTTTTATTCTGAAAATCTAAGATGTACCCAGTTTTTACATGGAGATGTTGAAGGAAGGGATGGTCCACAGATGTATTCTGAGCATATTCTGCATGATTCTCTTACTAAATGTTCAAATTTGCTATCCTTGTTCAAATATAGAGTATATTTTGTACGATGGAAGCAATGAGGGTGTTTCTGAATAGTCGACATATTGTTGTATTTTAAGATGCCAGATATACAACCCCCCTGAGCTCCTTTATTGTCATGTTCTGTCTTCTGATGATTGTCTTCCCAAAATCGTCTCATTTCAGATTCTCTAAAGAACTCCAGAGATTAAACCATTTGAGTGATAAGCTTTATGTTTATCCTGCTCCAAGGTCCTTGCTTCTTTGATATCCACGTGCTGCGACAGTTCTATTCTGAGTTTTCATTGCTTCTCTATTATTCTGATTAAAACCTGAGGTTTTAGGGCAGCGAGGTTGAAGTTAATGCACAAATAAGATCTGTGAAAGACACTTGCTTGACCACAGAGGTCCTCTTTCTCTGCAAGTGTCTGCATCATACAGAAGATTGCCTTGTTTTAACACCTGTATTTTTACCATGAATTTATTTTCTAGCATGGAAAGGACTTTGAGGCGATCCAGAACAATATAGCCCTCAAATACAAGAAGAAAGGCAAGCCCGCTAGCATGGTGAAGAACAAGGAGCAGGTGCGACACTTCTACTACCGTACGTGGCACAAGATCACCAAGTACATTGACTTCGATAACGGTGAGCATGGAGGCTCAGTCTTTGGGGAGCCTAGGATGCGGGGTTGGGCTCTGGTCAGCAGCCGGGCTCTCGCACATCTACAGGACACATTCTCTGGCATCGTTCTTGCCCAGCTGCGTGGCCTGGAATGTCCTTATTTTGTGGCGCTTGGGCTGGTGGTACACACGCCTGGTAACCATAGGTCAGGCTGAATTACGAGGAAGCTGTATCTGTTTCTGATGGCTCTTAGTGCCTGTGGTATCTGGTTCCCTGGCTCGCTGTGGGCCTATGTCCCCTACTGGGAGAGAGGGGCACCACAGTCAAGAAAAGACCAGAATTGGACCCCTCCAGTCCTTCTGTCCCAAGTGGGGGCTTGTTGGGGTTAGAGTTGGGCAGGGCCTATCACACATCACCCAGGAGTGAAAGGCTAGCTTTCCCAAAGTTCTCATCTGTGTTTGAATCCAGATTTGCATAGTCCCATCTTTAATTCATATGTCTAGGTTATCCCTAGGGCGAGGTTCTGACGTCTGGCTTAGAGCGTCCTAATTCACATCTCTATCCTCAGAGGAGTTGCCCCCTCCTGTCACAGTGTGTCAGGAGGATTGCATCTTTGTGTCATTCCTTCCGCTCAGTCCTCAATTCCACCTTCTTCAATCTTATTTTTCATTTCTCCAGCTTCAGTCACTCTAGACATTTGCTTCTACTGACTTCACTTATTTCTGACATTTCTCCAAATAATATCACTTCTGATCTAGAATAACTGATAGCTCTGGTCACATTACTCCCCTCCCCTTGAACCTGTGCTGTGAGCCCTCCATGGCGGCCCTCAGTTCCTCCGAAGTTTCTCTCTTCATCCCACCCTTGGGTGTTCTCCTGGCCAGGTCTGAGTATGTCAGCCAATGCACAGCAGTGTCACTGGGGCTAATCCATCAGGATGCCAGGTCCAGAGCTTTCTCTTCCAGCCTTAGAAAGACCCAGAGAGCTTGAATCAAGCTGTCACTTTCTCTAAAGGGTCAGATAGTAAGTATTTTTGGCTTTGGGGCTTTACAGTCTTTATTGAAATGACTTCACTCTGCTGTCTTAGCTCATTGTAGACGCAATGTAAACAAATGCATGTCACTGTGTTCCAGCAAAACTTACAACAAGAAGCCTCCAGCAGGATTTAGCTTGGGAGTCATCCAGTTCGCCGACCCTGCCCTGGAGAAATCCTTTCTTTCCCCTGGCCAGCGACGAGCCCTGAGGAACCAGGGGCCCAAGCTGCAGGCCATCACTGTTGTTAGCTGACACTACCCCTGAATATATTTTCCTTTGAATCTTCATGGACATTGCCCCTCTGCCAGTCAGAGGCTTGCTGAGTCTACTTTGGAGCTTTTCAGACCAGTCCTTTCTGCCCGGTCCCCCATGGTCCTGTTCTAGATCATCGCTTTTCCCCAGTGCTCTGGTTCTGCCTTTCCTAACCTACCCTCCAAAGAGCTCATCCCCACAAGACCCACGTCTGCCCGGCTGGTCCCTACCTGAACCCCTCCCCCTGCTTCTCCTGACATACTCATCCTGACCTGCCATTGCTCCCAAGATGGGGTCACCCTGCAGCTTACCTGCACTTTCTTTTGTGCCTTGACTCCTGCTACTTTCACCATGTCGTTCTCCCTAAGTCCATTCACCTCTCAAGACTGAGCTCTTGTGTCAGCGCTCCCAGAAACCTTCCCTGAATCCTCCTCTGTCCCCACTGCCATCTGACCAGGGGTCTGCTCTGTGCCCGTCATTTGAGCATGTGACATTCTCTTCCCTGGAGATGCCATCATTGTCACTGCAGACGAGAAAACCTCAGCTCAGTGATGGAGGCCTTGGCCCAAGCCGCCTACATAATAAGCAAAGGAGCTAAGCTTCAAGTCATGGCCAGTGTCTCCTTAATGTAATATTTTCCGTAAATGTAATATTTTCAGACCACTTCTTCATGTTGCCATAGAATTTCCCCATGTGTTTTTTATTCAATGTTAATTCTTTGAATTAACATCTGTAAATGAGTAAATTTTACCTTTCCTCTTGGACTTGCAAGCCACTTTTAGTGTTTTTAAATAACGCAGGTGTGGACATCTTTATTCACGCAGCACTCTTCTTCAGAAGTACTTTCTTCAGCTAAATTCACATGGTTGAGATAACTAAGTCTGTGTAAATGGGTGTTCTGTGTCTCATTGTGTCTTGTCATGAGTGCTGTCTGTCCTCCAAGAGGATCGATGTCTAGCCTGCTGGCCTGGGTATCTGTCTGCTGTTTGCCCTATTTCACATCTGCTTCTGTCCTTGACAAAGGCAGGAAGGGGCACCTGGCAGTTGAGTGCATACCACTCACAGCAACCTCACAGTAAGACCCACGTGAGGCGCCTTTTTTCTGCTGAGTTTTTGGTCCCACTAAGGTTCTCTCTGGTCAGTAAGATGCTCGTTTCTCAAGAGTATTTTTAAGGTATCTTTTCTGCTTCAAAGCCTTCCACTGGTTACCTCATGGGTATCCTCCTTGCAAACGACATGTGTCTCAGAGTTATACTACACTTGACCAGTGGACTGCTGTGGAGGAGGGCTTCCTACCCTAGCTCCAGTTCCTCCCGCAGGAGGGGCCTGCAGTCCAGCCAGGTGTCTTTATAGAGAAAATACAACATAAACAGAATATCGCATTGACCTTCTAATAGTATACCCATTTTTGAGAGATCGTCACTGTTTCTAGGGACCCTCAGAAATGGACTGTCAGTGCCCATGTTTTGGGGACAGTTCCTAGATCTGACTTAGCAAATCTTTCACTAGTACTGTTTTATTTATTTGTTTGCTTTCAGTGTCCACATGACCATTCTCCACTGGCTTCGGCGTATTAGGGCAAGTCAGTACATTTTGTTCTTCCACAGGTAGTACAGAGTCTGTGTGTGTGCTCGTGTGCTCAGCTGTAGCTGCCAGTGTTTCTCAGATCACTTGATTATTTGAAATTTCAACACTCGTTCGGATCATACTGAGTCCAAGTCTGTTGTTAATATCTGTCATCACAGACACCTTATCTTCCAGGGTGGCACGCAAGAATGAGCTTTAGCTGTTTGACTTTTTCTGTGTTGTCTTTTACATTTTTTTGTTGCTGTTGTTACGTATTGTTCTTTAGCATATTTTTTAAGGTTAATCTGTGAGAATAGGTCCTTCATCCACTTTGTCTGAAAAAGCTCCCTTCCAGTGAGAAACTTTGGTCACCAGTGTGTGAGAAGATTCAGAATCTGTTGGTGATAAAGTGTGGAGAGAGGGATGAGATGATTCCTGGACTGTGATCTAGCATGTTCCGCCCTTTCAGCACACCCATACTACAGGCAGAGTGGGCAGTGTCACCGGGGGGGACACTCAGGTTCCCAGGGCAGACGAGGTTTCATCTGCTGTTTTGAGAGGTCAGGGTTATGTCCCAGGGCCCACCACACCCAGGCTTTTTCCTGCATAGGTTTCAGAAGTGACTTAAAGGAATGTTTCTTTTAAGTATTTGTCAACCTTCGCTGCTAAACAATCTCCTAAGCTCCTCTCCTCATCCCCATTATTTCTCTTAGGCCTTTTATCCAACTCTGGGATAAAGGGTGGATGAGTTGGCCACCGTCAGGTTCTGTTCTCACACTGCACTTCGGTCCCATGGCAAGCTCTGTGGGATAGATCCAACATGTGTCCTTTGTTCTCTGCAGTGTGGCTTGTGTTTCCCTCTCTCTGTCCCCTCCATCTTCTACCTTCTTGGTGTCTCATAATTGTGAATCTATTTTCCTAATGGTGTCCTGGTGTGACCCCATGAAAAGTGCCTTCTTTCTGTTGAGCTGATGTCTCCACCAAGGTTCTCTAGCAGGTCCTCATAATGTCTCCAAGCTGGTTGCAGTAGTTGACCTCTTTAAGCCCACCTGCCTCTTTGTGCCACACAAACATTTGCATCGGAGCATGACACTGTCCAGCCATTTCGCAGCCCCTTCCCTAGCCCCTGACTACCACAGTGTGCTTTCTGTCTCTATGGATTTGCCTGTTGTGGGCATTTCGTGTAAAAGGAATCATATAATACATGACCTTTTGTGTCTGGCTTCTTCTACTTAACATGGTGTTTTCCAGGTTCATCCAGGTTGTAGTATGTGTCAGAACTTTGTTTCTTTTTATGGCTGAATAATGTACCATTGTCTGGATAGACCACATTTATTTATTCATTGAATAGTGGATCTTAAAGTGTCCTGAGTTATGTTCCCCTGTGAGAGTCTGATGAGAGTTGTGAATCTTTTTCAGAAGAACCTTCAGGAATGTTGGCAGAGTCACACGCTCCTTAGAACCTGTCCAAGGTTCAGATTCCTTGTTTTAGATCATTTATACAAAACTTTATTCTTTATTTGCTAATATATATATACATATTTTTCTTTCCCATTATAATCATACACAGCCAAATGTTATGACTTTGAAAAGGGGTCTCTGAGAGAATAGTTGTTAGGGTGAAGGACAAATGACATTGATTGCTGCTCTGTGAGATGATCTAAAAGTTGCCTAAGCTGTGCTTCTGTTAGGATTAGGTTTGGCATCATATAATACAAAAACCCCAAATAGCAGTGGCTTAAGCAAGTGAAGATTTATTCTCTCATGTCAGAGATGCCTGCAGTATGTGGTCCAGGGTGGGCAACCAGTGATCCAGGTCCTCCTGTCTTTCCGCTCTGCCATCCTTAGCACCTTACCGTCAACAAGATGGCCCTAGGCAGCAGCTCGGGAGGAAATGGGTACACATTTCTGCCCAAATCAGTCTTTTAAGGAGACTTTCAGAAGACCCACAATACTTCTCACTCTCAAGGCCAGAACTTAGTGGCGTGGTCATGTTTAGCCACAGGACAGGCTGGGACATGTGCCGCCTTACCCATATGTGTTGCTTCCCAAATATAACTGGGCCTGTTACTAAGGAACAAGGGAGTATGGGTATTGGGAGTCTCTAGCATTCAAGCCATGGTTCCTCTCTGGTCTGGCACCAGGCCGCATAGATCCGTTAAGAGGAGGTACGACAGGTCAGCTTTTCTGGTTCCATGTGAGGGCTGCCCACCTCACATGGAACTCGGGCAAATACTGCATATGTGGAGAGAGGTGGATAACAAATTTAGTAATGGTCATATCCCACCTCCATGGGAGCTGCCTGTGCTGGAAGTCCCATTTTCTCCTCCTGGGGCCCACTCATCTTCCTGTTAGGACTAATTTTCTAACCCCTCCTTTTTCTTGCTTAACTTTTTATTTTGTAAATTACAAAACACAGCACCATGTTTCTGTAGACTCTCTGCTTAGTCTCCCCTGATGTTAACATTCTACTGTGCTGAGGTGCAATGATCAAAACCAAGAAATTGGCAGTGCTGAATATTGCGCCAGCACTGTTCTTATGCACATGGGCTGGCCAGCCTCTGAACGGCCGTTTTTCTCCTTCTGAAGCCTTATTTCCTGTCTTTCAGTGTTCTCTCGTGGGCTGAAGAAGTCGTCTCAGGAGCTGTATGGTCTGATCTGCTACGGCGAGCTGCGCAAGAAGATCGGGGGCTGTGAGTATGGGCCAGCGGTACTGCCCCAGCCCTGCTGGTGGCTTCGGAAGTGATGTGGCCTTCTACAGGGCACTCATGGTTCCTCCTGGCAGGGCCTGCTGTCCTGGCACTGTTGAGTCTTTGGTCCCAGGGACATTTCTGTTTTCTCTAGCTTTCATCTTGAAAACATTTTAATGTGCAGAAAAAATGAAGAAGATAGTGACCACCACATACCTGCACTTAGATTTTTCGATAGGTAACATTGGCCACTTTTCTGTGTGTACTCTCTCCCCCTCCACATGCTTGCTTTTTTCCTGCTCAGCCATTTGACTGTAAGTTGCAGACATCCAAGCACACCCCTAAATCCCTCAGCCTGGATCTTCTACACACCTACAACCCTAATATCACACCTATTGCATTTCACATTTATTAGGGACCACAGTCTTACCTAATATCTTGCCCATAGTCAGATTTCCCAGAACGTTCTTTCATGCCAGTTGGACGCCAGTTGAGGACATTGCTCTACTTGTAGCTGTGGTGTCCCTTAAGTCTTTTGACCTGGAACATCTCCCACTTTTTTGTCTTTTGTGACACTGGTACTTTGAAGGGTTCAGGCCCCTCCCTTTGCGTTCTTCTGACAGTCTCCTTGTGACTGATTCCCTTTAGATGTAGATGATGCTCTGGCCTTCCCAGGGCACCCATGCCCAGGGCCTCACATTCCTACCTTGTCACCTGTATGACCACAAGAAGAAGCATTTCTACTTCTCCAGGTGTCACTTGTCTGCCTGTCACACGGATTGGAAGAGCACACACCCACAGGGCAACCCTGAAGGTTAAATTAAATCATATGAGATGATCAAAAGCCATCATCTTAGCAGTCACTAATATGTCACAGCTGAGTGGGCAGTTGGCTAGGGATATGGAAGCATCAGAAGGGTGGAGAGGACAGCTATTCACTGATTGCTCTGCATGCCTGGCCTGTGCTGGGTCACCTCCCCTCTCCTGAAACAGGCAAGAATGCCTAAGAGGCTCCAGATGGGACAGGCATCCTGGTTCCCTGCCCCCTGTCTTCCCTATAGTCTGAGGTCTTCTTTGTAAATGTCCCCAGCTCCTGCTTTGAATGGTCTCTTGAGGGGAGCTCTAGGATCCCACCTCCCTTGAATCTCTGCTTCCCCTTCTCTGTCCTTATTTCTGTCTTAAAATGCTTTTGGTCATGTCAGCGCATTGGGCATCACCTCCTTTGGTGATGATGCTATGGCCCTTCCTGCATCCCTGCCATGTATGAGCTGCTCAGCCGGAGCTTCCCAGCCCATCTATGACTCCACATGAGTCTTTTGGGATCCATGACCTTGGGTAGTTTTCTTTTGCCCTTGGGGAATCACCTAGCCTCCTGACCCAACGGGCCTTTGCACTTGGACTTCAGCTCATCTTCCTGCCAGGCGTCCCTCCGGATCAGCTGCCTTTGTCCTCCTGGCGATGCCTGGTTGTCCCTTTTGGCCTAGCTGCACATCAGTTTCACACGTTCACACACATACTTCCTAATGGGGCTTCTCCCGCTGAGTTCCCACCCACTGATCCATGTGCTGGGACATTGTTGTGCTGTTCCATGAATCTTTTTGGAGAAGGACATGCTTGTTCAACGTGTGGCCTCCGCAGAGTGTCCTATACACAGGAGCCACTTCTACTCAGTGGTAGCTCTTTCTGAAAAGCACGCTCTGACCTCCTGAGCACTCAGACACATTTTCTGTGCTTATTCCATCTGCCATAGCACTAGTGTTGGGACGGGGTAAAGCAGGGACAGCAGCTGCCACAGTCCTCACTGGTTTGTTCAGATGGCTTTTCTTCGAAGGGCAGTTCCTTGGACAGTGCCCATCTGGTGATTCAAACCCCAAAGTTGTAGTGGTTCCACCCACCCAGGCTTCTGTCTTTCCTGCCTGCTAGACACAGAATGACGGGCCCTTCTCTTCCCTTGCCCTGTGAACTCCTGCCTACCCTTTAATCTCAGCTCGCTTGTCCACGAACTTTCATGACAAGCTGGGCTGCAGTGTTACACATTCTCAGTACTCCAAACCGTCCTTCATGCAGAATCACAACTGCCACTTTTACTGATGTGTGCTCGTTTGATTTATGCCTGTCTGAGGGCAGGGCTGTGTGGGACCTCTTGTTTAATGAACAAGTCTGTACATTCATCCTCTCTGGGGCTTTGTCTTCTTTCCTGAAGACCTGTTTCTGTCTGGTACTGTTTTCTTGCAGCCTGCAGAACTTCTTTAAGTCTTTCTTGTTGTGCAATTGTGCTGGCCATGAATTCTTGTAGTTATTATTTATCTGAAGTATTTATTTAGTTTTCCTTCTTAAGATATTTTTGCTGGGTGTAGAATTATGATTTGATGTTTTCTTTTCTTTCATCACTTTAAAGATGTTCCACTCTCTCTGGCCTGCACTGTTTCTGGTGAGAGGTCACTGGCCATCTGTGTCCTTGTTCCTCTAGAGAGGGATGTGTTTTTTCCTCTGGCTGGTTTTAAGGTTTTGTCCTTGTCTTTGATTTTCGGCCTGGCAATGTGTTTGTGGCTTATTGTTTTTGTTTTTGTTTTTTTCACCAAAATATGTAGAAGTATTTAAAGAATTTTCAGTGAACACCCAAACACCAACTACTTAGATTCTCCCATTACCTGGTTACTATACTTGCTTTCTCACACTTCCTGAAGAACAGCGCTAAGTACCGGGAAGGCTGAGGAAATGTTCAGGGTCTTGGCTCGTCATTCAGCAGACCTAGGAGTGTGGGGCTCAAAGCTGACTAAGGTGGGCCCACAGGTAACACAAGAGTCCATCAGGAGATGTGTGGACAGGGCACAGTGGTTACCCTGAAAAAAGAGTCTCTGAACTAGGCAGTTAGGCACCAGTGGAGGTTCAGCATAGGCAAGAATCTGGGAAAGAGATTTTGGGCGGAGTGAAGAGTTTTTGGGCGAAGTGATCGGCTGTGCTGATGCAAGTAGTGGTCCCTGCATGAGCGGAGAGGACATAACAGGTGAGAACAGTACCGTTAGCACAGGTGACACCTTGTTTTGACCTTCAGTAAGGGACTTTATGCTGGAAGACCTTAGATATTTCGTAAAGTATTTCGATTCTATACTGAAGATAATTATGTGGAAATCTTTACCAGTTTTGCTTCTGTTTCAAGGTCACATCTGTTTCTTTTTCTGTTTAAAGGTATGGACGACAAGAATGCCACGAAGTTGAATGAGCTCATTCAGGTTGGGTAAGTATGAGTTGTGTTGTGAGATACCACCTGCTCCTGTCGGGTGTTTGCATCATTCTCTGAAATATAGAACTGGAAATATCTGCCTGTCCCTCTCACTCATGCCACCAGAGCTTCTGTGCTCTCTCCTGGATCTTCCCACTCCTTGTCTTGGATGGACCCACCCACCACCCAAGATCTCTGCTGGTCAAAGTCCAGCTGCCTTGTAGATGAGCTCTCCCTGGAGTAGAGTAGTCTTCACTGGCCTCTGCTGTATCTGCAGGACATTGCCTTTTGCACCTCTCATTCTTGTCTCCAATAGCCAGGGGTTGGATGGCCTGCGAGCCTGTCCTTCAGGTCTGCGCTCCTGCTAGGTGGGGCCGGCTGTGTGCGCTTCTGCTCTGGGTCCAGCCCAGCGTCTGCCCTTACAGATGCCCGTATTGGATTCTCGAGGCTTTGTATCTATGAACTGCCACCCGTTTGGAGCCAGGCCTGATAGTAACTAGGATGTATGTATCACCACTGTGCGAAAGAGCAGTGATTCACTCCAATCACCAGGGAATGCAGGTAGCCTTAAAAATTGGTGTCATTGGTCAAAGGGAGCCTCCCAGAGATGTGTGGGGTATGGTCAGAGGCAAGTAGAAAGAGAGGCCACTGGCCATATCCTCGTGGGTTTTTTGTCACCCACATACCCCATTCGTTTGTTGCAGCTTCAGCATCCCATCTTCCTTTCCACTCTCACACCTGCCCTGCACTTACCAAGTGAAAGCTGTGTTTTTTTCTAGAATATAGGATATTCATGTGGTATTGTGCCTACCTGAGAAACCTTGTTAAGAAGGGAAAGATTTTTGGCTGAGGTGGTTTCTGACATTATCTCACCAGCAGGCAAGAGAGTTACCACAGGATATATAGCACTTACTCGGTGATGCAATTTTAGGACAAGTCTCACTCTACCTTTTATTTCAGTTACTCCAGAATCTGTGGGTAAGCGGGTGTTACCAGCCCTTTGCTTGGTGCTCAGGGTTCGTTTGGGGCTGGTTTGATGGAAAAGCAGTGAGTTTGCTTGGCTTTGTCTTACTTTTTGCAAAAACACAGAAATGGGGGCATTATATAGGAGCATGTGGGACTGTCTCCTTGGTGTCTGGAGAGACATGCATGCCCGATGCCTCCTGACTGATCAGGAATGTGAGGAAGGCATGCCTTGATAAGTTTGAAAATGGCCAGATTGGTTTAAGCGGCTGTTGGAATTCAGAGTGCCAGAAGGCTGTGAGCTGTAAGTCTGAAGGTACCGATAAACCCAAGAGCTGAGCTGAGACTCTTCAGTTTCAGAAAAGAGCTGCCTCGGTGAAGCCTCAGTTGAGATGATGGAGGGATGGTTCCGAACAAGCAGGGATTCAGGAGGAATGTCTGCATTGTGCATGTGTTTTGAATCCTTACTAGATAAAGCATAAATTTACATGAGTCCATACTAATAAAATCAATGATTGAATGAATAAATAAATAAATACATAAATAAATGGAGGACGAGGTAATAAATCTCCCATGTGGAATTCCACATAATTTATATAGATACTCTACTTTTAAGTTTTTATGTAGGTAGTTCCCCTTCCTTAAGTGTGGGCTGCTCCCCGGGACTTCTAAAGAGGACAGTATAGGAAGGGGAGAGGAGCATAGAGTGGAGACACCTGACAGACACAACCTCAGTCAGATCAAGGTCTGTGTCAATGGTGATAAGGCAGATTGATGGCATGGAGAGATGTTGCACTGTAAAGACGTCTGCTTTCCCTAAATTAATTGACAGATACTTGTAGTTGCAATCAGAATCACAATGCAGTTTCTTTGATCATTAAGTGTAACTAACCTTCACAGCTCTGAACATTAAATGTAGACCTTAAGTGCACAGCTCTGTGAGTTTTCACAAAGTGATCCCACCAGATCAAGAAATGGAATAAATGTTACACCACTAGCCTTCCCAGAATCTTCCCTTGTGCCACTTCTACTGCTTAAGGCTCAGAGTAAGAAGAAAGGCAAATTAAACTGATATCACGTTTCACAACTGGATGGAGAGGTCTTAGCATTGTTGTTGGTCGTGTTTGCAAACAGTAGGGATAAACTGAGTTTGTAACTCATCCCACCCATAAGGGTGCACACCCTCTGGCCTAGCAGTCTCGCTTTTGGAAATAATTAGATCAGGGTGAGCCGTTCTTGCGAAGATATACGTGACAACAGTGATCATGCTAGCAAAGGGGTGTCAAAAAGTGAAGAGCTGGCTCTGGGCAGGATCGGTCTCCATTTTTGTTTTCAGAAGCAAGGCCGGGCAGGTGCTCACTTGGCTGCTTGGCCCCAATAGGAGTTATACCAGGGTTCTCTTGGGGTCGTGGGCAAATGGGCACCCCTGCTTTCTACTTCATACATATTTTTTTTTTATTTGACTATTTAACAAGAATGTACTTAGATTTGATCGGAGGAGAAAAATTCCATGTTGGGGAAAGGTATTCTTTTTATTAGTTTTAAACTGCTATGACCAAGTTTTCTCCATGGGGTTATAGTTATAAAAATGCAGTTATCTGTATTTTCTAGCAATAAAAGTGTAACACATGTGGCTTAAGTGTTGGTTGGGCCCTGTTGTGAGCGGATGCTGTCAGGCCTGGTGGCAAAACTCTCTAGGAGCCTTTGTATGGTTATGGGGTGAGGGGAACCTACCTATTCCTCATTACGGCCCAGAGGCTACAGGGCTCAGGGACCAGCAATAGCTGGCTTTGACAGAGCCCAGAGAGGCTCTGGGCTCAAGGAGTGTCCAGCAGAGGGCATGACACCCTATGCTTCTCTCCTGCTTCTTTCTCTAGGCCCAATGACTATGTCCGACATGGCGGGCTCAGGAGTGCTGGTGAGGGACAGGGCTTTCCTTTTGACTGCTGCCCTTCCCCTGAGTGACAAGCTCCTGCTCACCCTTTGGCTGCAAGCTTCGACACTCCCCCTCCCCTGAGCCAGAGCAAAATCTGGATGTTACGTGTCTATGTGTGACTCATCAGCACAGCGCTCCTCCTGGCGTCGTGGGTGCTTGCCTGTCATGCTCCTTACCAGCCTGTAGCTCTAAACGGTCTACCCACACAGTCCTTACCCTGGTGTATCAGGGGCCAGGCCCAAGGCCCTTCTCAGTGTGAGTCCCAGAGACCCTCTGACAGAACCCAAGCAGACAAGTGCATTGGTACCAGGTGCTGCCAGCTCCTTTCTCCGATGTGACAGAAGAGCATCATACACCAAACCCTTATGCACCCAAGAAGCAAGATGGCTGCTTTTTCAGTCTTTCAGAAAATTTTATGAAAAAGTTTGAACATCAGAGAAGTTGATAGAATAGCACAGCAGCCACCTGCATACACTTCACTTGCATTTATCAGTAGAAATGAAGAGAATTAGATGCTCTTTTTCACAGAGTTTGGTGTCAAGGTAGCTTGTGTGGCCCTCATGTAGTACATAGTGAATAAAATAGAGGTGGTTAAGGAAGCAGAAATCTGCTCAGGCAGTGCCCACGGGGAATTCGTTCATATCTACAGGACTTTAACCAGTGGTAGATGAGCACAATGCCGACTCTGGGATGGAATGTGCTGTGAGTCAGCTGTAAGGAACCTGTCATGGGCGCATCCAGCTCTTAGGGTCCTCATCTGCTTACCTGGCAGCTCTGGGTTCAGGTCCCTACCTATTAACATTGTCATCTCTCAGGTGCTGAGATACCTGAGAAAAGGTTTGAAACAGCATCAGCTCAGTGAGAAGATTTCTGCCTGCAGCCATAAAGAGATGTGAGACAGAAAGCCTACTGCATGGCACATTCATTCATTCTAGAAGGATCTGAGTGCCCAAATGTGCCAGTATCAAGAATAGGGAGTTGGATATGCGGTGGTGTTAGAGTAGGGGCAGGACAGCTAATGAAGTTCATTCAGCAGAGATCATCTTTCCCATGTATGTGTGTATGGCACATGCACAATAACTTGTGATGAACGTGATCTTGAAACTGTCAGGATGCAGGGAACTTACACCGAGTATCCTGGGAAGGCCTCTTGGAGGTGATGACATTTAGGCTCAAGTCTTAAAGAAAAAGGTGAGCTGGGATGACGCAGGGGTGGGTGAGGCTCAGGCTAAAGGAATAGAGAGTGCAAGGTGAGAAAGGAACCAAGGGGCTAGGGTGGCTAAAGTGTGTGTTGGGGACCTGCTGACAGGGAGGGGTAGAGGGGAGAAGTAGAGCCAGGTCAGGCCAGGACCCTCTCTTTAGGCACATTGGAATTTGGGAATCTTGCCAGAGTATCAGGATAGCAGGCGAGCCCCTTGTTTTGGGTTAAAGTATTTTTCTAGTTCCATGTGGGGGCAAGGTAGGGTGTGCGCATCCATTTTTAAATATCTAGTATTTTAATTCATGTACTTTTTGCTGTTTGCCGTATGGTTCTGCAAGTTTTTTTTCTTTTTTTCCCCCCCCTTTAACTGCCCCCCCCCCCCCCCCCCCCGCTTCTATACTGCAGATCTTTTACATCTCCCCTTAAGAACTGGATCTCTGAAGGTGGGGCATCTCCTCCCATGCGCTTGCAGCATGGACCCGGGGCCTGGCGCACCCGGGGTATGGTCCATGGTTCCACTGGGGCTTGAACCCAGGACCTTCTGCATGTAAAGCAGACGTGCTAACCACTACACTATGGAGTCACCCCCTGCAAGTTTTTTTTTTTAACTTTATTTTTTTAGAGCCATTTTTTATTTACAGGAAAGTTGAGTAGTGAGTACAGAGATGTCCCATATACCCCCTTCCTCTGCATATGTTCTTCTTATGAATATCTTGTATTAAATGATACATTTGTTAGAATTGATTGACAGATACGGATGCATTGTTATTAACTAATGTCCGTTGTTTAATTAGTGTTCATTCTTGGTATTGTACATTCTTTGGTTTTTGACAAATGGCAGTGTCCTATATTCACCGTTACAGGATCTTGCAGGATAGTTTCACTGCCCTAGAAGTCCCTGTGCTCCACTGATTTCTCTCTCTTCTCTAAGGCCTGGCGATCTCTGATCTTGTATTGTTTCCATAGTTGCCTTTTCTGAAGGTCATAGAGTTGGAATCTTATAGCAGGTAGCCTTTTCAGACCAGCTTCTTTAACTTAGTGTTCTGAGTTTTTACAAATAAACATTTGTGTACCACCACAACCATAGTCAAGGCACAGAACAGTTCCATCACCCCCAGATTCCTTCTTGATCTCCCATTGTAGATGTTCCCTCCCCCATGCCCAGCCCTAGCAACCACTGAGCTGCTCTCTGTCCCCTGTAGTTTTGCCTTTCCCAGAATGTTATTTAAACAGGATAATACCGAATATGGCCTTCTAAGTTTGGTGTCTTCCACTCTACAATATACACTTTGAGATTCATTCATGCCTTTTCCTGCGGAGTAGTGTCCCTATTGTGGCTGTTCTGTAGTCTGTTTATCCATCCCCCAGAGAGGGACAAGGGCTGTTTATAGAGAATAATTGACTAAACATCCACCTCCTGGGCATATTCCCAGGGGAGGAGATGGTGAGTGTGTGCATAACTATGAGGAACTGGCAGACTGCTTTCCTGGGAGCGTTCCAGTTGCTCCTCATACTGGTTCTCAGTTTGTTTGTGCTTTTGAACCATCCTACTGGGTGTGAAGTGGTACTTCACTGTGGTTTGGGTTTGCATTTCCTTGATGACCAATGATGTTGAGCATCTTTCTTGTGCTTATTTACCATTTATCTGTCGTCTTTGGTGAAGTATTCAAACCTTGTGCTTATTTTCTTATTTTTGAGTTTAGTGGGTTCTTTATATGTTCTAGACACATGTCTTTTGTCAGATAGGCGATTTGCAAATATTTTCTCCCAGCCTGTGACTTGTCATTCTTTTTACTACTGTCTTTCACAGGGCAGAATGTTTAGCTTTGTTGAAGTCAAATTCAGCATCTTTTTCTTTTATGGATTATGCTTTTAGTGTTGTATGTAAGAACCATTTGCCTAACCTAAGGTCATGAAGATGGTCTATTTCCTTATAAAGTTTTATGGTTTGACATTTAAATCCATGATCTACTTTGGATTTATTTTTGTATAGGATGTGAGGTTTATACTAAGTTTCATTTTTTGGCCTATGGGTGCCCAGTTGTCCCAGCCTCATCTGCCAAAAAGATTGTCTTTCCTCCATTAGCTACTTTTGCGTCATCTAAGGTCAATTAATTATACTGTGCAGATCTGTTTCTGGATTTTAATTCTGTTCCATTGATGGATATATCCATTTTTTCACTAATAGACATCAGTTTTTAAGACCAAAACAAAAAGCCTGTAAAAGGGAAACAGATTGGTAGGGGGAATTAAGTATGGTGCCTGATTTAAGACCAAAAAGTGTTGAGTATTTAACCAACTTTCTGTCTATGCTTCTCACACAGATCTTCAATTAACTGTGACTCTCCTTTTGTTATAAAATTGTAGAATTTGATAAAGGAGTAAATGAATTGAGAAAAGCTCTAAAATTAAATCTTACCACATTAGTCACCCAGCAGCATGCTTATTAGATTTATCAAATAACTTTGCATAGAAGAAAATAAATCTCTCAGAACAGAAAGCCAGACTCTCACATACATAGAGGAATTACTCCATTGCCTGTTTTGTCAGAATGAGTGACACTCAGTTCAGGAGTTCAGATAGAACCCTCTATGTGGTTATATTACATCGGAGGTCAAGCTGTGATTCTTCTGCAGAAAGTACCTCTTAAACCCCCATGCCCTGGGGAAGCACTCGCCCAGCCTGTCAGTAGTCTCACCTGTCTTTCACCTGTGGGGATGATGTGATGTTGGGGAGTGTCGACCATGTCCTGAGACCAAGGCCAGGCCTGAGAGGCCTTCTTCCTGTGAGCTTGAATATGGCACTTTACCTCCTGCAGGCTCCAGGCTCAGGCTGCTCATAGAACTTCCATTTGAGAGAAAAGGGAAAAAATTTTAATCTCAGAATGATCATCTAGTCATAAAAAGGGGGCAGCTCAATTTCACTTAAAAAAAAAAAAAAAGGAAGTCGCAAAATAGCAGTTTAACGGAAAATGTGATTATCACAAACACAGGTGCCACCTGCTTTTTTAGTCTTGCCTGTTACTGTTTTATTTTGTTTGGGGTAGATGTAACAAAAAGTGATGATGGGCAGGAAAGTCCACTTGTCCCTAGAGCCCTTTATTAGAGGAGATTCTTTAAGAATGAACTTCATACTTCATTGCTATTCTTTAAAATACTCCTCCCTGCTCCCCCTCCCCTGCAGCCCTGCTCCATATTATTTACATTCACACCTCCAGGGTAGCACCTTGCGTCTCCCCTGAGTTCAGTGGCTAAGACGTAAGTGTATGGTCTCAGTGGAGTGTGGTGCTTGTTCATGCAGACTCTCATCCTCTCTGAATCTCCCCTCCTGACAGAATGGGGGGAGCTGGCTCCCTGGGGTCACAGCTGGGAGTTGGTCAGTTGAAAAGTTGGTTAAAACACAATAATAAAAACAACGTACCAAAGGACCTTTCATAAAACTTAAATCTACATTTGTTCACTAGCCACTGACTGGGGTGTCTAGCCAAGGCCTTTTCTTTGACTGAAATCTACTGTTAGAGTTCTGGCTTGTTTTTATCTCAGAAGCTGTAGCTAAGATGCATCACTTGTGATTTCTGTTTTCAAATAGAAAAAGAGCTTAGGGGCAAATAGCAGTGGGACTGTAGAGTGCTTCCAGGTCACCCTCAGTCTTTCATAGTTGTCTCTCCCACACTTAACTTGACTGCCATTTTTTTAAAACAACCTACCTTTATTGAGTATTTCCAAAGCATTCCATCATTCCAAGTGTGTGTTTTAGAAGGAACTATTTTTGTGGCTTTTGTACGCATTTATAGTATTTCTTTAATTCTAATATTGTATAAATTATAGTCATAGCAGTGTTCAGAGTGTCACCAACAGCTGTGATAGGCTGCCTTTGGGCCTGCCTGCAGGTCAGTTGGGGGGAGCACAAGCACATGATATCCCTTGCCTGCTGGCTATGAGTGCCCAGTACCCCCAGGCCCCTGATAGTGTGGTTTACAGAGGGACTAGGGGATGTTCCTGACATGGAGATGCAGCCACCTAGAGCTCAGTTGAGAGGTCACATAGAGGTAGGTTGAGACATGCTCTTGAGAGACCCCAAGGAAGAGTTGAGAAGGGAGTGCCATCTGACATCTGATGGGGGCACCATCGTCCTGGGCTTTCCACGAGATGAGACAGTAGCTGGTGCTGCACCAGTCACCAGGCAGGAGGGCAGGGCATGTTGCCTGTGAATGGCAGGAGTCCCTTTAGTAGTGCGAGGTGGGAGCCCTGGAGGCCAGGCCTGGCACCCAGCCAGAGTCCTCACCTGCTCTGAGTTCTGTGTGGATTGGACACACTGGCTCTTCCATATTGCATTGTGTGGGGAGTAATTGTTCATTTAGAGGCCTCAGCACTTCTTTAAAACTCTTTCACAGGGCCACCACAGTACGTTACAAAGGGAGAAATCTGCGGATCAAAGCACCCATGTGCCGAGCCCTGAAGAAACTCTGTGACCCAGACGGTATGTAGAAAGTGGGCTGGGGTGGGGTCAAGAGGTGTTCTATTCTACTCCATATATCAACGGACAGGCCAAGCTAGAAATGCCTGCCTCTATGGCTCTGTGTTTGAGTCTGCCTAACCCTTTGGTCAGCTCCTGGATCCAGAGCTCCTTGTCACAGCAGTGTGTGTCCACTCAGTAAATCAAGGTCAGCTTAGGAGCCACAGCAGCATTCAGATGGAGTGTCAGTGGTGTCAGGAGCGTCTTGTGGCCTCATGCTCTGGCTTCTGGCTTGAAGGGTACCTGAGCAGCCACATGGGCACACCTCTAGGTACAGGTCCTCAAGTCATGGCTTTTCCGCCAGCCCTGCTTTCCCTCCTGGGCCGTTTGCCCACAACTCCTCCTTGACTCTGAGTTGTCTGACTGCGCACTTTGCCTTTTGCTTGGCGGTTCATATGCCAGGCTCTCACAGCCCCTTCTTGTCGCAGGCTTGAGTGACGAAGAGGACCAGAAGCCAGTGCGCCTGCCCCTGAGAGTTCCTGTAGAGCTGCAGCCAAGGAACAACCATGCCTGGGCTCGTGTGCAGAGCCTGGCCCAGAACCCCAGGCTGAGGTAACTGCCTTTGGCGTTTGTGGGGGAGCTAGCTGCAAGGGATGAGACCAGAGCGTGGTGTTTGGGTTCCTTTGGAGACCCTTGAATGAACAGATTTCACTCAGTGCTCCAAAGTTACATGGGCGTAGGGATGTGGGAGTAGTGCACTGTCATTGGGGCCTTCAGACTGTGGGGGCTTGGGGACACCATGCCACATTTTCAAACCTGGGCACGGGTCTCTTGGGCCGAGAGCGGGATGTAGAAAGACGTCATGGCTAACAGGTTGATGACGACAGACTCTTTTCCTCATCTTTCCCCCTTAAGTCCCTTTCCATTCCTCTCTTACCTTCTCCCTGAAGGTTTGTGTCTGATTTATGGGCAGGACATTGAGTACCTTCACAGTGTTGTACAACTACCACTATCTAATTCCAGAACATTTTTATCACGCCAAAAGGAAGCCTTATACCCACTAAATAGTCTCTCCCCCGCAACCTCCTCCCTTGGTCCCTGGCCACCACCAGTCTACCTTCCATCTTTATAGATTTGCCTGTTCTGAATGTTACGCATAAGTAGAATCATGTGCTATGTGATCCTTTCTCTCTGATCTCTCTGAGCATTATTTTCGAGGTTCATCCACATTGTAGTATGTTAGTGCTTCATTTCTTCTGTATGAGTTTTTATTTTCTTAGAATTAAGTAAGGCTGGCCAGAGCCCCTCGTTTTGAACCCAAATAGAAAAGGATTGTGGGTTGTACCAAGGTCTGTATCTGTGTGAGATCTTGCATGGTAAAGGGTACACAGGTCTCCATTTTGTCATGCAGCTTTGTGTGAGTCACTAGTTTCTCAATTTAAAAAGTTAATTTTTAAAAAATTTATTTAAATTAGTTTCAAGTATACAGTACATTGATTAGGTATCTGTATAGTTCATTTTTAAGAAAAGAAATCGGTGGCTCTGTTGGGACATCAAGGCTCTGGCCCCTCCTTGGTGCCCTTCCAATACTCTTTATGGCATTATCTTCTGCTGGCAGCCTCCAGGGCTCTTTAGAAGGTTCACTTCCCGTGTAACAGCCTCCCTCTTCCTGTCTGTTGTTTCCTGCAGAATGATAGTGGAGCTCCATCGGAAGGTCTCCAGCCTCATTGAATTCTTGAAGCAGAAGTGGGCGCTCCATGAAGTGCGAATCGTATCTTTTTCCTACTAAAGTAACTCCCCCACACAAATTCCACAGCACCTGCTGTCTGAGAATGGAGTCCTGCATTTCAGCGCTGGGATTGCGTTGGGGCTCTGTGGGACGTAGCAGCTGTGCTGTGAGATGGTGTGGAACCGGAACTAAAACCTGTAGCCCCTCATCCTGAGTTTTGGGTATGAGCCCCTTTTCTGACCTTACAGTGTTCGAACTGTCACAGCAGCCCTCCATGTGGCGAGTGGCTACCACCTGGCCTGTGGGATGTGGCCCAGGCATCTCTGCCAGCAGGTTGAATGAAATGACCTAGGACTCCCCGACACTTCTCAGTCTTGGCCATCTCCCAACTCTGCCTAGTCGCCAGCCAGGAGGGCATGTATTAGTGATGAAGTTCCTAGAGAAGGAAATGCCTGGGTCATGCTTTCCCCAAGGCCCTTGGTGCCCAGGGATGGGTATTACTATAGGTGATTCCTTAACAGTACACTCAGCGGAAGACGCTTGCAGAGCGTCAGCTGCAGGACTCGTTCGTGGAGCCGTCACAGGAGAAAGTGGCACTGCACCTGTTCCCAGGGGAGAACTGCACTCTGACCCCACTTCCAGGAGTGGCCCGTGTGGTACACTCCAAGGCCTTCTGCACGGTGCACTGGCAGGAGGGTGGCCGGTGCAAACAGAATGCCAAGGATGCCCACACACTGCCTCCAGCCCAAATCCTGGGCATCCACAGCGGGCAGGGCACGGCCAGAGGCCAGGTGAAGTGCCCAAGGGGCGGTGCTGAGGGCAAGGTTGGAGGGCGGCCTCCTCCCTCCACCTATGCTTCACAGAGCTCTGAAGAGAGTTCCCCTGAAAGTGCCCCTGCGGAGGTGGTTGTTCCAAGCCTCAGCAGCCCAGACGCTCCTGACAGGCTTCCCCTTGGGCTCCAGGATGCTGGGGGACAGCTCGAGAAGCCTCCTATGCCTGCTCCTACAGAGGGCAGGGATGTCCCTGCCCAAGAGCCTGGGGCCATGACGTGTGCCTGTGGCCAGCTTCCAGAGCTAGAGGATGAGCTCTCCCTCCTGGACCCCTTCCCCCGCTACATGAAGTCCTGCCAGGACCTCATTATCCCTGAGCCATGCCGCTGTGCGGACTCTCGGCCTTCGGCATGTGCCTCCCCAGAGACTCGCGCCCCTAGCAATGCAGAGGCAGCTGACTTTGCTGGTGCCAGGGTTCCGTCCCCTGTCCGCGGCCCGCCTGGCCCTGAGCCTCAGCCCAGCCCAAGTCTCCAGCCAGATGTTTGCACTAAAGACTCAGCAGATCCTCCTGCAGAGGAGGCCCAGGAGAAGGCGAGCCCCTCGGACCCGCTGCCTCCTCAGGGACAGCCTGTTGCCAAGCCCCCGAAGGACGTCCCCGCCAGCCGGCTGGCCCAGCAGCTCCGTGAGGAGGGCTGGAACCTGCAGACCTCCGAGAGCCTGACGCTGGCGGAAGTCTACCTCATGATGGGCAAGCCGAGCAAGCTGCAGCTGGAGTACGACTGGCTGGCCGTGCTGGACCCCGAGGGCCAGGCCCCTGGCGGCTCCCCGCCTTCCGCCTTCCACAAGCAGCGCCTCCTCAGCTGCCTCCTGAAGCTCATCTCCACTGAGGTCAACCCCAGGCTGGTGAGTGAGAGTCAGACACGGCCCTGCTGGCACCCTGAGGGCAAATAAGCCTGGCTCCATGGTAGTCAGTCAGGACTCCCAAAGGCTCCTTGGGGGAAGGGCATGAAGCAGGGACCCTGGTGACCCAGGCACCAGAGGCTATGTTAGACCATGTTTCATTCTCTTGAGCAGGGCTGTGTAGAGCACTGGCCAGGGCTCCAGCTCCCTCCCAGGTGAGGGCCCTGTCCTGCAAGGCTCATGCAGCAACCAGTGGCCATGCCTTTTGGGCCATGCTTGTTGGGCCTTGCCAGGCTCCAGTGATGCTGCTGAGCCCTGAGTTTCCTGGCTGAGGGGACAGTGCGCAGAGGCAAGGTGGCAGACTCAGCCAGAAGCCGAGCCGAATCAAGTTTTCTCTAAGTGTCAGGAGCACTGCGGGCTTCAGCAGAGGAGTGACAGGATTGAGGGTGTGCTTTAGAATGGCTGTCCTGGGAGGATGGGGTGTTGCAGCATCAATGGAGGGAGTGGAGCTAGGAGGGGGCAAATGGAATGCCGGGGCTATAGTCTGTGCTGTGTGGGGCCATGCTCTGTGGGGCAGCAGTGGGGAGACCTCTGCTGGCATCTGTTCATGAGGTAGCTAGTTGAAGTGGTCTGGGGCTCCTCAGGAGGCTCCAGGGAATGGCTGCGATGGCTCAGGGAGGGCCAGGCCACACCAGGCAGGCCATGGCCTTTGACCCCCACCTCAGGAGGCAGATTAGCCAAGCCACAAATGGGGCAGAAAATACCACTGATAGGAAAGTCTCTTAGGCTCTCCTGGACACAAGAGAGCAGAGTCCTGAGGCAGGTTGGTCCCGAAGTAGCAGTGTGTACGTAGTGTTCAGAAGCCTGGAGGCTCTCAGGTTCCAGGAGGTACAGCTGAGGAAGCTAAACACAGTGGCCTCAGATGACAGGCTGGGACTGCGGGCTCACTGTGTACCCCCTAGCACTGATTCATGTTCAGAACCAAGTACAAGGGGCCCCTGGGAACACACCATACATTCTGCTTTTCCTGGGCAGGTACACTAGGTCTGTGCCTTCATTGTTCTGCCTTGGTTTTCGGTGTGCCTCTCCCACCATGTTCTCCATTTTTTTGCATTTGCCCCTGCGCTTGCATGGAGAAGTGTTTCTGTGGAGCATTGGTGAAGTGAATCAGTGTCTTGTGAGAGATGGCTCTAGCAGGGGTGGGTGGAAGGAAACTGCTGGCTGCTGCAGAGGCTGGTAAGTCAAGGCCTGAGGGTGAGCAGCCGCCTTTGGATTTAGTGGTGCGGAGGCGAGTCGTGGGCAAGCATTGGCAATACTGGGGTGACTGGACAGATTTGATGAATTTAAAAGCCTTTTTTGAGGTTTTTTTTTGGCAGGGGAGGGATCAGGAGAGACAATGGGGTAATATGAGCATGTCCAATGTAGAGGAGGCCAAGCTAGGCCGGCTCCTGAGAAGGCTGGAGGCAGCAATGCTAAGATAGTGGCCTTGGCCTCAACTGAAGAGGAGAGTGGAGCAGGTTGGAAATATTGCAAAGAATGCAAAGCAGGGTGGCTCCATAGTGTCTTGGTTAGCACGTCTGCTTTACACACAGAAGGTCCTGGGTTCGCACCCCAGGTGGAGCCACGGACCATACACCGGGTGTGCCACGCCCTGTGTGGGAGGGGACACCCCACCCTTAAGGGGAAATGGCAACATCCATAGGTCAGGGGTGGAAGTGCAGGGGTGGAATTAAAGAGAGGGAAAAAAATGCAAAACAGGGTGCTCATAGCCATGGTTCCCAAAGTGGGGTCCCCAATCAACAGCCTCAGCATCACCTTGGAACTTGTTAGAGTTGCAGGTTCTTGGGACTCTGTAGACCGTGTTTTGACACCCTTCACCAGGTGATTCTGATGCAACTCTTTTATGAGAACCACTAACCAGAGGCCCCGCTGAGAGTAGGGACCTTAAATTAGAGACGGATGGACTGGCCTTGTGGTCTCCCTCCTCCTATAGTTGTGGTGAAGTTCTGACAAGCAGGTATTCTCTGTCAGGATGCTGGCAACAGGCTGGCTGGGTACTCAGTTGGGCAGGAAGGGACATCAAGGCTGGGGGTGGAGGGCATCCCACGGAAAGGAGAGAGTAGGTCAGGGCTGGGGGCTGAAAGCCATAGAAGGTACAGGAGTGGTTGCGGGGCCCCTGAGTGAGAACATGTGAGATTGTGCTGAGACTGTAGACAGTGAGTTTTGTAATTCACAGGAAGGTGCCCCAAGGTGGGCCTTGGGCATGGGTGCTAAGGAAGAATGAGGAGAGGGGTCGATGGTGAAGTTGTCAGGGTAAGACAGGTGAGTGGATGGGGATGTTTCTGGCAAGGACCCAGGAGTGGACGAAGTGATCTATAAAAACCCCTGGGGTTGGGTGTCGACTCAGCACAGGGCTCTTCAGCTGTGATTGTGTTTAATTCTAGAAGTTAAATCTGTATTTCTTTTTTTTGACTCACAATCAGAAGAGACCACTCCAGTCATCTTAGGCTTGCTTTATAAAAAGGTGAATTACTGTCACTTGCCATTCAGCATCTTCTTCTGGCAGTGCGAGCACGTCCTGTGTGGCCAGGGCTGCCTGCTGCTTTCAGCCATCAGTCCCTCCTTCCCTTCCTCCCACCACTCCCTGGTTTGTCTGTTCATGCCACGTGCCTGTGGGCAGTGAGGTCAGAGATTTCAGGAGGAAGAGCAGTGGTTCTCCTAAGGGTCCACATGAGTGATGGTTTTGAGTGCTGGCACTGCTGAGTGACTCAAAGATGCTAACCTTTGCCGTCATGGAAGTCTGGTCTCTGAGCCTTTGCCGTCCCTCTGAACTTGGAGTTTTTGTGCCTCCTATTCCAGGGCACTCATTTTAGAGCCATCGTTCACAAGCTGAGGTTGGCCATTGTTTCAGCTCATTTCTGTCCTAGGCTCCGGAAGCGAATGCCAGCTCCACAGCCTCAGTGAGGCCCGCCCAGGAGGAGCAGTCGACGACTCCCCCAGGGAAGGTGGTGAGCATCAGCTCCCGGAGCCCCCGCTGCCCTCGAAACCAGTCTGCCCTCCGCAACAGCAAGGCCTTCTCTCCCAGCTCTGCACCTTGCCCTTCAGGTGAGACTCAGCAGCAGTGCTCACCCAGTCCTCACTGTCCTAGGCAGCCCGCTGGGTATTGGGGCTGTGCCAGCGCTGAAGGCACTGGGATACCTGAGGCTTGGCCCCCCTCAGCCATGGCCCAGCGGGTGGGAGGGTGACCCTGTCACCAAGGGCCTTCAGGTCCTGGGGTTACGGGAGCCAGTGGGAAACATGGAGTGGCCCTCACCAGTCCGTTCTCTTTGGAGGATCATGCTCTTTGAGGTCAGCAGAAGCCTCCATAACATGCTGAGTTGGTGGCTTAAAGTATGAGAAAGGTTGGTTCTCTCTGAATCTTCTAGAGACTATTTTTCTTTAATTTTAATTTCTAAAGTATTAAAGACACCTTCAGTTGAAGGATTTCCTCAGCACTTTAACACAAGTCTTGTTAGTAGAGATGGGCCGACCTGCCATTCTGTTCTATTTCTTTACCTCAATTGTACGTCGCAAGAGAACTTTAAATTAATTGGGTTACTGGTTATGTAAAACTCCAGGATCAGCATGAACCATTTCCTTGAGGCATTGATTTTCCTTACTTAGTTTTTTTTTTTATAATAAAACATTAATTGTCTTAACTAGAATCATAAATTCTATATGATTTTTAAAGGTAGAATAAGAAACGTGCATGCATTCTATGGCCTTGCCCCATGTGCCATGGGTGTGTAAGTCCATGCTGAATGCGTCAGAGCCCTACTCCTTCCTCTCGCACACCAAAGTCCTGCAGCTCTTCCCAAGACTGACCTGATGATTTTTTTATGGCTGGGGAGGCAGGGATGCAGGGATGCAGGGTCTGAGGGCTGGAGAGTTCCTTCATGTCCTGTGCTCCAGAAGGCCTCTACACCAGACACGAAGGGCATTGTAACTGCTCTCATAAGCAGACGTTCTCGCTGTAGAAGCTTGGACGCCCTGGGTGGCCTGAACATCCCACAATGGCCAGGGCATCTGCAATGATGACCAGTGTGCATCATATAAGAAGTGGTCCTGCCTTTGTTCTTATTCTTATCTAGCCTAGTGCTCTAAAACGTGCAGTAAGTTTTTGACTGAACAGACCTATTGTTCTGGTGAGTTAATGGTTCTCTAGGATGATTTTCCAAACAGAATGTTACTAGCTTTATATTTTTCTCTCAGTTTCTATGTTGTGAATAACCTGCCTGTTAAGTGCTTGAAGATTTCCTTGAAGAGTACTTCATGGAGTCCTTCGAGAAAATTAGGCTGCTTGCAGTGTCAGGTTCACCAGCTTCTACCGTTTTTATTTTTATTTTCTCACTGTGGCTCATGAGGGAGGGCATCAGCACACCGTGAATTGGTCCTTACAGATAAGGGTGTAGTACTTGATGGTGAGGCTAGCTGGTAGGTTATATAGTCTTTTCCTACGTTCCATTCTGTTTTTTAAATTTCGTAATTCTGTGTACTCTTTAATATCCATCCTCTTTCTGAATTGAGGATGCTTCTAGACCAGTGTACCTGTAGTGCTAGAATCCAGATTCGTGCTTAGAAGACCTGATCCCTGGATGCCATAAGTGTTAGCGTAACCTTACCGATCTACAAATAAATTTTTTTTTACCCATCCTACCATGAATCAAGAATGAAAACAGCTAGCAGAGTCCCAGAATAGTGGTTTCTAAATAAATATTTTCTGTCCCTCTATCTCTGAGTCTGTTTTCTATATAATTAGAGATTTAGACCAGGCATCAGCAAAGTACAGCCTACTTCTTGTAAATAAAGTTTTATTGGTACACGGCTACCCTCACTGGTATGCATACACATGTTGTCTGTGGCTATTTTGTGCTACAGCTATAGAACTGATTTTAGCAGAGGCTATAGACCCACAAAGTTTTATTTATTACCTGTCCCTTTAAAGAGTTTGCTGACCCCTGGTCTACACTAGATCTTGAAGGTTCTACTGGCTCTGAAGTCTTTGAAGGCCTAAGCTTCCCTTCCTACTGAGGATCAAAGTGGTAAAGAACATTTATCTTGTCTGCTCACAATGAGCACCAGATTTTCAGGGAGATGGATGGAAAGCAGATTTAATGGTGCTAAGATATGGGAAATTCCTTCCCAGGAAACTGAACAGATTGTTCTTCCTGATTTTCTTCCCAGTAGAACTCCATTCACACTGGAGATGTTGCTGGCTGAGTGTAGCTATGTTTACTCTCTTCTAGGTTTGAGAAACCCTCCGAGACCCCTCTTGGTGGCTGGTCCCTCCAGTACAGGAAGCAGTGACTCAGATGGTGGCCTTTTTGCTGTCCCAACAACTTTACCACCCAACAGCCGACATGGGAAGCTCTTCTCTCCCAATAAAGAGACAGAATTAACTTTCCTTCAACACCTGAACTCCATCAGCGTAAGTGCGAGGATTGCACCCCCTGCTTGCCTGCCTTCCCATTTGGTAGAAAACACTCTCAGGGATCGGATGCTCTTTTCCTCACAGATGCAGTCAGATTTCTTCTTGCCAAAGCCCCGGAAGTTGCAGAACCGGCACTTGCGGAAGCCGCTGGTGGTCCAGGTCAGGAACCCGGGTCAGGTCTGCCAGGACCAGCCTCCCACTGGCCAAGCTGCCCATACACACTGGTTTTCTCCCGTGTCTTGGGTGTTCATGGAGACCCCCTGCCCCTTTCTTCTTTCTTATGAATAGAGTAAAGTATTCAGTGACCCTAACTGTACCCGAAAATAAAGATAATCTTTGCACAACATGAAAAACGCTTGTAAAAAGATAGAAAGTTCTGGGGGTTCAAGTCCCAAGAATGTCCCCATTTGAGATATATTTGAGGACTCTCAGAACATCTATTTATGAACATATAGTCTGTGGAAGCAGTTGGCAAGGTAATATGTATTTTCCAGAGGTCAGACCTCTGGAGCTCATAGTGATGAACACTGAGGGGGACCCATAGATGCCATCTGCAGACCAGAGGGGAGATCCAGGAATGACAGAGAAAAGGGACAGTTTTATTTGAAAGTAAAAAGATGAAAGAGGTGAAGCTGGAATTTTTAAATGACTGTGAGCTTAGAAAGTCATGAATGTGCATTGTTTTGGGATTAATGCATCAGTCTCTTTTTGTTAGACTATTAGAAATCTCTTGAGATTAATTTATTTAAAAATGAGAAATTGCATGACAGGTCTTTGAAAGGAAGATGTATTCTAAATCCCAAGTTTTTTTGTGTGTGTGCAGACTATAATTGACCCTTGAACAATGCAGGGGGTAGGGGTGACAACCCCCCACATAGTCAAAAATCCGTATGTAACTTTTGACTCCCCCAAAACTTAAGTTGTCCCTCGGTATCCGCAGGGGATTGGTTCCAGGACCCCCCACGGGTACCAAAATCTGCGGATACTCAAGTCCCCTATTTAAAATGGCGTAGAACAATGCATACAGTCGGCCCTCCACATCCGCGGACTACCAACCGCGGATCGAAAACAGTACAGGTATTTATTGAAAAAAAAAATCCGCCTGTAAGTGGACCCACACAATTCAAACTCATGTTTTAGGGCTACCTGTTTAGTGTTAATGTATTTAGTTTTAGTATATTTGGCGAAGTGTATAAATCTTCCACCCTGGCTGAGTGGGAGCTCCATAGCTGTTTGGTTCAGGGCCTGTGATTGTTGTTGTTTTTGTTTTGTTTTTAACAGCTTTATTGATATATAGTTCACATACTATAAAGTTCCCCCATTAAAGTTTAATGGTTTTTAGTATATTCACAGGGTTGTGCAACCAACACCATTGTCTAATCCCAGAACATTTTCATCATTTCAAACAAACCCCGTACCTCTTACCCACATTCCCCCCTACCCCAACCCCTTGCAACCATGAATCTACTTTCTGTCTCTATGGATTTGCCTGTTCTGGGCATTTCATTTAAATGGAATCACACAAATATATAGGCTTTTCCATTTACTTCTTTATGAGAAGTTAATTGGCACAAAGCCATGGTCATTCATTTCCTAACTGTCCACAGTTGCTTCCATGGCACCAGGGTAAAGATGAATAGCTGCAACAGAGGCCATATGGCCACAGAGCCTAAAATATTTCTCACCTGCCCCTTCAGAAAGTACATTTGGAGCAAAACCAGCACATCTGTAGCTCCTCAAAGTCACCTCACTGCCTCTAAGCAGCCAAGCAGACCTAACAGCCCTTTCTGTCAAGTTTATATCCCCAGTAGCACCTCCTCTGCTGTGTGCTGACACCCTGGGGTACTTCTTAGGGGCATGGAGATGTCTTTTGTAAGTCAGCAGAGCCATAGCTAGGCACCCAGAGCTGGAGGTCCTCAGGACACTTTTGGGTGATACATATTTTCTGTTAATGTTTTACTTCAATGAATGAGAGTTTCAGCAATTAATATAATTTCTTTAGATGGTAGTCATCAATTGGAACTTAATTATTTACACATAGGAGCCCCGGGCAGATAAACAGGGAAGGTTGGGCACTGGGACTGTCGGACTGGGTGGAATGCCTCAAGCCCTTAGCCTGTCTGTGTTACAAGCAGCAACTTTATCTTCACCCCAAATTCAAGGAGACCCAGAATAAAGGGGTGTCTTTTCACAGTCCACATTGAGTGGTTGTAAATAGATATATGTGACTAGTTGCATTCCAGGCTAATCTAGAATTCTGGATTAACAGTGGATCATTCTGACCTTCCTCTAGTTTTCCTGGGGAAAGTTTTATCCCTTGGGGTTTTTTGTTTTGTTTTGTTTTGTATTTTTTCAGAGAGGACCTAGTGTTTAAGGCTTTGGGTCCACAGAACAGCCATCCTCAGACTGTCCCAGGAGCCCTTGTGTCATCATCTCTAGAACCAGAGCCCCCATCTGATTACACTAAGCTCCCTGTTATCGGGAATATCCCTTTACAACTCTTTGCTGGTTTCCTGAGTGATTTTTGGCATTGGGGTCTTTTCATCACCTGATTAGTGGTAGTTTTCCTTCCACAGAGAACCCTACTTCCTAGACCGTCTGAAAACCAGTCCCACAATGTCTGCTCCTTCTCCATCCTGTCAAATTCCTCCGTAACTGGTAAGCATTGGGGTTCCTCAGGTTGGCTTTTTACTCCTCCTTACTTGCATGTGGCTTCATCTTTGGGAGTGGTAGGCATTTGCTTCCATGGCTCTTGGAGTGACATTTCCAGCATTCCTTTGTCCATTCTATCAATAGACACTGAGTGTGCCCCTGTGCTGGGCCTGGGCTGCAGCGTGGGCACGTGTGGACCTTTGACAGGTGGTGCACAGGCAGCTGCTTCAAAGGTAGCTCAGGAGGTCCTGTTGGGGATGCTTTGCTCAGTTTGGTTTAGGGGAGCATCTGTGGTCCACCCTGTCTTTGTGATGTTTTACCAGGCGTTTTACAGAATAGATGCATGCAATCTTAGGGTATACAACTCGGGTGTTCCCAGGTCTCTAAGGTCAGTGGGGCCCTGGCTCTTGGAAGTAAATTTACTTAAACAGAATTGTTTAATGAAACACATATTCCATGATTTATCTTTAAATCAGTCTTGAGTTTCACATTTCAGATTTATTTACTGTAGAACCCAGACAGCAGTCGATTGCTTTTTCTCATGCCACCTTTTTACCTGCAGAAGGCCTAGTAGGAAAGAGGACTCTTGCAGGTGGAATCTTGGTCCAAGATTTGATGCTCTGACTGCCTTAGAAGAGCCTATAGCTTAGTTCAGGTGTGCGTTACTCTTAAAAGGGTCATCCTCAGGGGATGACAGTACTGACTGCAGCCTTTTAGCGGCACCCAAGTGTCACAGTGGTGCCGCTGTCATGGGTGCCAAAGCTTTCTCCTTGTCTGGGTCCCGTTTGACCTCTCTTTGGCCTGTTTGGGATGTTTGGTGGTTTCCGCCTTGGCTCAGCTTGCGTGGTCTCGACTGTGGCTGTGAAGCAAACCCTTTGTAGCCTCCGCTATACGGTCAGAGGGCACCAGGGGCAAGCGGGGTTGATGCGGCTGCTTCTGTTCTTGTCCTCACAGGGAGAGGCTCGTTCCGGCCCATCCAGTCCTCCCTGACCAAAGCGGCTCTGTCTCGGCCGATCATGCCCAAGGTCCTTCCGCCCCAGGCCACGGGCCACCTGGCCAGTAAGTTTCTGTGACCAGCATGGTGAGAGGCACCACGTGAGGGTTTTGAGTGACATTTCTGTTTTCTTCTTTCCCAAGCCATGCTGTCTCATTACCCTCCAGAGAGAACACGAAAGCTGTTACCCTGGCATTGACATGAGGAGTGAGGGAGAGGCTCTTCCCATGTTTTGGGATGTGGTAGAGCTAGGATTGGCAATGTTTTTTCTGTTCCCAGGTGCTGTCGACTTAGCAGCTACAAGTGCTGGCATCATCCCTGGGAGCCCCCTCCCTGTCTTGGACCCTGAGGGCTTGTCTGGCATCTCTCCACTGTCTTCAGATGAGGCAACAGCTGCTCTCTCGGGTCAGGACTCCACCAGCACCCACCAGAATGGAGACCCCATCCCCGCCATGGGGGTGAGTGTTTAGAAGGGCCTCTCCGAATTACCACCAGCTGCCAGGATGGGTTGGTTACTCTCCAAAGGGATGGGAGCCAGGACCATGGGGCTGAGGTCATGCTAGACTCCAGTTCTGCCCCTGGAGGGGATGGGCCTAATGGGCCAGAGGAGAGGCTCTGGACCAGGGAGGCTCTGGCATGAGCAAGCACCATGTGGCTCAGAGGGGAGAGTCATAGCCGAGTGGGCACAGGCTTGCTGGGTGACACTGGAGAATTCAGAACTGAGAAGAACGAGGAGATCTGTACGTCAGCAGACTTCTCAGACATCAGCTTGGTCTGAGAAAGAACTTTAACCAGATTGGCCAGGAGCGATCCTAATGACCCCCAATGGGCACTCCTTTCCGACTTTCCCAGCGCTCTGGTTTCTCTGGTTCCATGGCCCTGCCCTGCCTGAGGACCATGAGGTTTTAAATTAACAATTTTAAGTTCAGGGACTTGGTGGCCTGCCCTCTGTAAGCGATGGGCTTGCTCGTCCTCACAGGAAGAGATTTCCAAATAGACTGAGGTGGGTTCCTGTGTTGCTGGCCAGTAGGAAGCCGGGGAGTGGAGCGGCTTGCTCTTTGAGAGCTTGGAGGCTGGCAAGCCCTTGGGGGTAGTTCTGGCATGCTGTGTGTAGGGCTCACT